CGGGCAATGCCGGGATGCCTGTCTGATAATACCCGACTTCGGGAGAGAGGGAGAGTTTTGCCGCAGTTTTCCCGCAGCGCCCGCCGCAGCCGCAGCCTCGGGAGCAGCGACAGCAGCCGCCCCGCCGCAGCGGCAAGTGCCGCATCGTACTGCAGCGACCGGGCTGAGGGACATGGAAGCGGAGTAGCATTATTTGAACTACCCGCTGAACTGGGTATCGGTTTGTTTGCGGCTGGCTGTAGCAGACTTTCGTAGTGATATTTAATTATATCGCGAATTTGGAGAGCCAAATGGGTGAATTTGGAGAGAGAGAGATCCGACTGTCGCAGGATCTCCCCCGCTACCTGTTCCCAAAAAGGGGCTTGGTATAATTTAGCTGGCAAAATGTCAGGGAAAGTCTGCGACAACCACTGAACAAACTTCTTAACTTCAGATTTTTTAACCTTAATTCCCCCCACTAAAAGGATACCCACAACTTGGGAATAAATGCTCTTCTGCGGCACGGACAGCCTTGCACCCATGCTGTTAGATGTTAAATCGTGCCGCAGCGCCTACGATTGGGAAAACACGAACGAAAAACAAAAGACCACACTTCCAGCTTTGCCGCAGTCCTTAAGCTTCCCGCCCGGAAAGGGAAGCACCAAAAACAGGAATTTTTTCCCCGAACCCCGGGGAAAAAGAAACCCACCAAAAAGGGATCCTTTCCCTAAACCCTAGGGGAAAGGAACCAACCAAAAAAGGACCGGGAAAGCCCCAGGGGCCCCTATACTCACAAACCAAAGGGGGCCGAGAGGGAAGGGTGGAAAAGAAAAACCAATCGTAGAACTCCTCCGCGAGAGGATCGACTCAGGCGGTGCTTTCCGGAGCTGCTGATCCTGTCCCTGAGAGTGCCACCCACTAGAACATGGGTCTGCTCTCGCCGGGGAAGCTGACGGCCAGGGAGGACGATTCTTTGGGTCCGCACGACCCTAAAATCCTCAAAGGAGGGGTCCAACGCAGCAAAAACGGGGCCGCTCGTTGGGCGCCAGCTGCCGCGCTCCCGCCCCAAATCCCTTTTCTCTCAGCCCCGGCTAGCTCTTGTGGGGCGAGGGCGGGCGATGGAGGCATCCTCTGCCGCTCCCAGCTGGGGTTTGGAGAGTGCCTTTGTGGGTTCCGGGCAGCGCTAGCAAGCCTCGCGGTGGTAAATGAAGAGCGGATCCTGCTGGATGCTAAGTCCAAGTTTATTGTAGCCCAACGGGGCCAAATATCCTAGAACGGTGCCAGCCAACAGGAACAAGCACAAGGTGCTTGCACTGGCTTATAAACTGTAAGGGAGGGGTATCCAACGACCAATGGGGATAGGAATAGGGGGTGGCTCCGGGATGGGGGGATATGGTGGAGTCCAATGGGGGAAAGATATGGGGGGAGCCCCAGGTCCTCGCCCAATCACTCGGTGCCCTGAGTAGAAGCTTCTGGATGGATGGGAAGGGGCACCGAGTGATAGACAAGGCACCCGGGGGGGGTGGGGGGTAAAATGCCTCTTTCAGGGTGATGGATAGATATTGGGAAGGCGGGAAGGGAGGACAAGGCGGGAAAACTGGGGATAAACCAAGTTGCACACGGGGGTACAAAGAATAAACCAATACATAATACAGGGATAATAAAACATACAAATAACACAACTCCACACTTGGGGACCCTCTGCAGCCTGTGGGGCAGATATCCTGATAAGGGGGAACCCCGGGAGCCTGGAACAAGGACCCCACACAGGCAGTACCCCTGGAGCCCCTCTGACACCCACCTAGGGAGTCCAAAGAAGGGGAACTATGAGAACCCCGGCCTTGCTCTGGGGTCTCATATGGTGGTGAAATTCCTCCTCCAACCCGTGCTTCCAAAGAAAAACTCCGCAGGCTTTAGCTGTTCAGTCTCAAGGCAGTTTATTGCTAGTTATCTAACAGATTATGTTCTTGGACAGCGGCTATTTGATCAGCGGCCTGGGTAGAGGCACACACACACACTGACATCCTCTTTATCTGCTGTCTTCTTCATCTCTCCCCCTGCCCAGGGCTGCTGCTATCTTTTATAAGATATATTACGTATAACATGTTTACAATTATTCCCCAATACCTACTACCTACGTTGCCAAGTGTTTTTCTACTCTAAACCAATCTGTGAGTGCCAACATCACCAAGAACATGGAAGTAAGGAAAAAGAAGGAGGAAGAACAGGATCAGCCCACTTTCCTCCATCTTAGAACTTCTGACCCCCATGTACAAAGTAAAAACCCCCCTGTACATGTGTTAAAACCCCCCTGTACAATACTAAAAAAATTTCCCTTCTACTTTGTAATTACTTTTACTATACTATCTAACCTGTTGTGGCTGCTTGTTCCACCTCTAAAGTTGGTAACTCATTCCATGGCTCAAACTCAAAATCACAGCTGTTTTTCAGCTGTCTGCCAGGGTCTAGAATGCCTCTGACCAAGGCCTGGAACCTCTAAAAATGTCTGAGAGAAGTTGTGAGTTCCCACAGGGAACCTCTGGGATTGCCAGGAGCCCCAGCAGCGTAGAGAGAGGGGATACCAATACACACTGGAGCTGCAGAAGCCCAGACAGGAGGGAGCCCCGACCCCAAAGTGAAGAGACCAGAGAGGGAGGGAGAACTCCTGGGTGGATGGTTGTTTGGTGAAACTTGGTGGTTTGGGTATTTTTGAGAGTGTCTGAATCTTGGTGGTCTGGAGGTTTTTAAGGACACCAGATGCCTGGTGACTTCAAGAGATGGAACTGGGCAGGAGAAACACCCAAGGCAACATGCCCACACCTTGTTTTTCCCCCAGAACAGGAATTCCATTTCCCAAACCTTGGCCCAATGGAGGAGGAGACTGCGAAGAAGGCGAAGATGGCCTGGCCCAGACAGGTTTGAAGGAAGTCACTGCCCATTTTCCCCTCTCTCCTGCTCCATCTCCCAGCCCAGAAGGGCTCCCAGCTGCATGGCTACCCCACTGCCAACGCGATCCTGTCCCCAATCCCTCTCCCTGTCTCCATTCCCTGTCCCCATTCCCGCTCCATGTCCCCATTCCCTGTCCACATTCCCGTCCCCATTCCCGTTCCCTATTCCCATTCCCTGTCCCCATTCCCGCTCCCTGTCCCCATTCCCATCCCGATTCCCGCTTCCTGTCCCCATTCCCATTCCTTGTCCCCATTCCCGTTCACTGTCCCCATTCCCGTCCCTATTCCCGCTCCCTGTCCCCATTCC